CCCATTATATCCAGAAATCCCTCGCACCGGCTGACAAGTTAATTCCGATTGCAGTGTTTCTCTGTCCATCCGTGTATCCTCGGTCTGATGAGTATCTGCTTGAAACCAGTTCAATCAGAGTATCAGCGCCTTCAAAATGTGCTGTATCTCCCTGCTGAAGCATGAACACGCTCTTCTTAATGTCAACCCCAAGCCGCTGCGACAGGCAGACACCTCCAACTGGCGCACAGCAGCCCCCTCCTTTCTTTAGTATAGGCTCCCCTCTGCACGACTTTAAAGACACAGTAAGCAGAGATCCCCCCCCCCCAAGAGCATCACAGAGCATCTGAATAATTCATTTAATTATTCACTCAAAGCCTGTGATGAAGGCTAATGAGTGTGTAGCCTATAGGACAAACATCATGCTTGAAGTGGATGTGTAATCTAAAAGGAAGGCAGTTATCCAGCACACTCAGGGGTCAGGCAGACAGCATGGTGCAAACTCTGATAACAATTAAAATGATTACAGGATCATTGATTATTGTTGTTCCAAAAAAATCTTTTGCTGTTGAGTGTCATCCTGAAGGAGTTAAACTGAATACAGAGTAAAGACATTCACAAGATTATTGATCCTTGGTGTCAGATCCATCATGAGGAGGTAATTAACACTTAATTAATCACATATATGCTGGAAAAACACACTTTTGATAAAAGTCCAAACGCCATATGAGGAAATCCCCTTTTTTTCCCACCCTATCCTCTGCCCTCCCACAGCCTTGACTGCTGGGCTTCTCTCAAGCTGTTTCCTGTCTTCTGGACCACAGCGCTCTCTGAGGAGCAATGGCCTGCAGGGTTTGTAGACCGTGAGTGAAGGGAGTGCCGGGACAGCATATCTCCCATAGTGGAGAAGAGAGGCCTGAGGCACTACACAGCAGCTGTGTGTCAAATATTCTCAACAAAGCATGCTGGTTAAGAAATAAAAATGCATGAAAATGTAGATGTGTGTGCAAATTATTATTCTTTGATGTCAATGTATGATTGGAATTGTGACTAATTGGAAGGCAGAACTAAGGGTTTCTTACTGCTTTGTGTATGCAGGTTGACCACACTGACATAATCCATATCACATCCATTTCACAGAAGAGAAGTGCTTTTGGGCTTCCGCACCATAGTCTTATACGATCTAATTCAGTTTGAGGACAAACAAGCCTCGTGAGAGATGGCGATTGGGTGAAGGCAGACTGGAACTAAATATAACTCAAAGACAAAAGCATTTGTTTCTTCTCAATGCTGTTTGTTTTAGCAGGATATGGTGGCTCCTTATTTGCCGTCGGTGAATGGTGTTTGGGGTGAAGCGAAGCAGAAGTGAAATTCCCCGCACACCCTTAGAAAGAAAGATCAGCTATGGCAAAGGGAATTAACACAGGAAGTGAATATGAGGCTGCAATGGAGTCTGCAATCAAGCTTTCCCTGTAAACACAACAGAGCTGCAGTAACAAGTGCTGCTTCCCCATGATGCTTGCTTTACTGCCTGAGTGCAGACTATGGGGTGTTAATGAAAGCATAATGATTGCTGGGCTGAATTGATTCCAAAGGCGGGGAACAGTACTTTCAGGATCATTTTCAGCAGAATCATTTAAGACACCGTAGGATGTCTGCAGAAATATTCAACAGTACAAAGAAATGTTAAAGGAATAGTTTGATATTTTGGGAAATATGCTCATTTGAGACGGTCCCCCCAAGGAGAATGACAGCATAAAAGCCTGAAAACGACATCTGTCTACGTTCAAGTTACAAAGCCCTCGAGTGGTTGTAGTAATTATATCAGGAGCAAAGGAGGAAGTCAGGTGATGGTATTGTAGCGTGATTAAGTCCTTGTAGGGAGGAGATCAGGTCGGATTGGTGTGTCAACGGAACATCAGACCTTAAAGCTCCAGTGTGTAACATTCAGGAGGATCCATTGGCAGAAATGGAATATAATATTAATAGGTATGTTTTCATTAGAGTATAATCACCTGAATATAGGAATTAGTTTTCGTGTTTATCTATAGATGTTTTTCGCGAGTTTAATGGCCACAGTAGTTTCTCCTACACACTTCACTTCACAGCTCAAGTCCTGCACAGTGGCACAGGAGAACACATGTATACTGCATCAAAGACTCAACCTTGGTACATGGGGTGCCATCTCAACCAGGTGAGCTATCTGGGCTTCAAAGCATGACGATCATTCCATACATTAACATGTTCACTATGGTAACCATGACAGTGAAGCTCCTCTAACCTTAACCAGTCCCACCAGGAAGATGGAATCACAATAATTAATGCAAATTAAACCAATCCCCGTGAATTCTGTGGGACGTTTGTCCAAACAGCTTCTTCTACAAATGTGACCAATCATGCAAAACGATGAGCGTTCATCATCATCAAACTCACTCCGTCGTTTCTAGTCGGGAAGATGCAGACCATACAGACGTGAACGTCTCACATCTACTCTCAGAATCCTGAGCCTTTTTGGTAACGTCACTTGGAAAGTTTCAAACAATGCAGTTTTATGCATTGGAACATTGGTCATTTTTACTTTCTCCCACAATTTCATTACAAATAAAATGCCTAAAAACACTGTAGCATGCATCTATTTTGTTTTAGAAAAGCTGCCATGAAATCAGCCATTTTAGGCTGCAACAATCCCTCAAAAAGCCAACAAAATCCCAGAGCGCCTGCTTAACTCATTTTAACCCAAACTATGATCTTCCCTAAACCTAACCAGGTCACTTTTGTGCCTACACCTAACCAAACCTCAACCGCAGAGTTGTTTCAAAATAAAAGGGATTTATTTTTCATTAAATTTGTAACAGATTTGAAAGGCACAGACAAATGGCAACCTTGTGGTGATGATGAGACTTTGGAATTGACTTTATAAGATATATGGGCATATTGTTACCTTTGGACAGAGCCAGCCTAGCTGTTTCCCCTTATTTCCAGTCATTGTGTGAAGCTAAACTAACTGCCAGCAGACTGTAGCTTCATACCATATAGACATGAGAGTGGTATTGATCCTCTCTTGGCAGGAAAGTGACTAAGCCTATCAACCCAAATGAATAGATATGAATGTGAATGAATAATAGATAATTTAGTGCTTAAACAATAATAAATCTAAAATGTACTACAGCACTCAGAGATGGACTATGAGCATGCACCCTTGATAGACTTTATATAAGCCTACTTCTCTGATATGCAGTGAGAACTCACTCAGTACATTCAGATAGTGTGCGGACAGTGAATGCTAAACAAAATGCCTTAGTTGAGAGAGCGTGTCGGCAGTGCCCTCATACTCAGTCAAAAGCCTAAATTACAACCCGGCATCACCCTCAGCCCTGACCCCTGGACACTGTTAACACAGATATGTCAGTCTGATTGCTCTGACAGAAGCAAAGACGCCTTTGGAAGTTGATGTAGGGACCAACAGAGAAAAAGCCTACATTTTTGGTTTGACCACCCATGTAGAAACAGAATTAACTTGAACTTTATTTCAAGTCATGTCTCTTCACTTTTCTACTGCAGTGCAGAGCCATACATTCTGGCAAGAATTTGGTGTGAATAGTTAGTGTGATGTGTGAAAATGATTGGGCCAGAGTTGTGATTTACACCAACAAAAGTAGGTGAAGGACATACAGTACAGCACACTGTAAGAAAGCTGCATCTATTTTAATTTAATTGGATGCGAACGGGAATGCTCTGCTCTAAAATGAACCTTAATGCATACTGTCCCCCTTTTGGATATCAAGCATCTGTGATGCAGCGATCTCACGAGGGCCCTTACGAATAAAGTTATTTCCAGAGAAGGAGGGCAGACATGCCTCGTTTGCTCAAGGAAACTTGGCCCACAGCAGTGTGACTGCTGCCATGCAGAGCAGCGCAGTGACTGGTCTTTGGACAGCAAAGTGTTACATTTGCAGTATTTTAATTCTCTGTAAAGACTCAAAAGCAGTGTAGAAATGCTGAGCAGATGGCTGTTTGGGAAGGTTTGTATGTGGTGGTCTCAGTATCAGGGGAGGGCTGCTGTCCAAACCCCAGCCACTGATCTAATGGATGAAGTGAGTCATACCCACCTTCAATGTGAACACAACCATCTCCATCAAACACACATGGGCCAGCACAATGAGCCACATTCATACAACAATGTTTTTCTGGTCACCACTTTGTGTTCAAGCAGTTTTCTACTACAGTGCATCACATCTGTTTTCAATGTGTGCTCCTGTCTTTTCATTAGGTCAATGCTTAACAGGCCATTGGAGTCAAGCACCTGCTTTTCAAAAACACAGTAAGTATTACCAAAGCCATTGTATCAGTAAAAAGTCCCTCACGTAGATGATGACACATACTGAGTAGAAAACTTTTTCTTTTTCTTTTTTAATCAAAGCAACAGTGCAGCATTGGCCTTTAATTGGAGCCATTTTAGGGGGAGTTCTTGCCATGTGTTCGGTACCCTCACAGATTGTTCTAATTTCCCAAATCCTCAGATCATGAGACTGAATGCTGTGGCAGTCTTGAGCAGACAATGTGCATGCATGCTTGGTTTCACTTCTGCAATTTCAGATTTGAGTAAATTAGAAACACCACTACGAAGTGAATCACTGGCAAGTGGGAAAACAAAGCACTGCAGCTGGAATGAAGACTGCACAGTAATACAGTAAATTGACAATTGGTGTATAACTTTCTACTCATGTTCACTCTATAATTAATTTACCTTTTTTTTTGTGCTTTGGGTTGTCTGCAGAAAACAATTTAAATACTTAATTACTCATTAGGAACAGCAAGCCGAGAACTGCTAAAAATAAGAAGAAATGCTCTCGTTGCAAACAGCCTTTCAGACCATCCCACCACTCCTCAGTCGATGCAGTCCGTACCTCTTTCAATCGCAGAACATTTCACAACACGTTATCATGCTGTAATAACATACATGAGGAAGAACCAACTTCCTGTTTTCAGACAAAAACAAAAAACTTTAACTCACGGTCAAGGTTTACTAGATTTTTCTTCAACTTTCAACCACATCCCATGGTCATCCCCAGTGGATGGAGCTGGAAGTCAGTTGCTCAGTAGAATTGAGGTAACTGAGCCACTGAGACACCACATGACATGTGGTTGAAAGGTCTTGAAAAAGCAAGTAAGTGGATGAGTTTTAATTTTTTATGCAACATTTTCTCAGTAAGGTCAATAATCAACTCTTTCTGTAACTCATTTATACCTAAAAAGCATAAGCAAAGTGAAGATTGCCTGTGTCTAATCATCCTTCAAGAACTAATTCTAATGTTTTAAAACATTAACAACTTGTCTGTGACTGATTCCCCACAGCACAAAGACGAATCCCTTTTTCCTGTTGGTAGGCAGGCTGTCATTATTCATCTGAAAGCCATACCATGACTGGTTGCACCACCGGCTGTTATAGGCAGGCAGTACTTAAGAGTCCTTGCTGAGTTGATTTTAGGCCTCATGCTTTATGAGTTATTGTTCAAAATGTTAGGTTACACAATATAGGGCTGCTTTAAAGCAAGCCATGTACGTTTTATTATAGTTTGATTTCCAGGTCGCAGCTGTCTAATTAGCTTCATTCCTGTTTTATTTGTTTATTGAGTATAAACCCTATAGTTAGATGTTGGCAGCATACCGTAGTTACGCAACATTTCTCATGTTCATGTTTCTGTAGTCTTTGCTTTTTTTAAGATTGTCAACAGCAAATAGTGACAGGAAACATGGGACAAAATTCCCAGCAAAAACTGAAGAGGGGGTTTTGTGTCCATGTGGCACACGTCCATAGTGATGTTAATAATGGTAATGATAATGGACAGACATATTGACTGTGATATGAGGAATTTCCTGGTTCATTTTCCATTGAAGGAGTCTAAATCATGACATTACGTAACATGTCAGCCCCTGACATTAAATGACCCCCGCTACTCTAATACAATGGAAACAGTCAGGGGATGGCATTGAAAAAACTTTTATGTGAACGTCTTTACAGCTGTTTTTGAGCATTTTAAAGTATACTTAACAGTCAGTAAATCAAAGTTGCACTTTGCTATGAAGACCTAAATTTTTTAGGTTGTATTAGTGGAACATGAAACAGTGGCATGGCTCCACCAAAATGTTGTTTTAGGCCTCTCTGTCAGTGGGAGACATGCTAAAAATGGCCTTTCAATGCATTTAACCAGATGCACGGACAGTGTTCTTCCTCCATCTGTTCTATTGTCTCAGTGTTCTCTGGGATGAGGAGCGGATGCACCACCAAAGGAGATGCAGGAAATACTCTTGGCCCATAACAACACAGCCAACAACTTCTTCTAGGCTGTTACACAGTGGCTTCAGACACAAATGCAGCTCAAGACTATGGTAAGGGAAAATGAAGGTATCGCCTGACGTGTAGTCCATCATTTTCCTATTGTTTTATAAGATGGAGAAATCAATCTTCATATTTGTGATCCAAAAGGACAAACATTGTTCCACACAAGAATTGTTGTTCCTTTTTCTTTTATCATCTTTCATTTCAACAGTGACTACACGGTAGCGTGCTCGATGTGGTGGAACATTCGCAGAGTTATACAAGGCCCATCAGGAACAGGAAGGTCTTACGGGTGTCGATGTCAAGGTCTTTGTCGTCTTTAACATGACTCCACACAAACAGCAGCAGCCCTGCTCAAGACGGCCTGTCAGACGCACTCCAGAAATAGACATTCTGGTCGAGCATTAAAATTTACAAGGTAAAGCTATATATTTTTAATCATTCTTCACGAACGGATAAAAATAAAAGCGAGTCTTGTAAAGGTGGTAGAGGTATATGATGCTAAATAAGGAGAGGTGTGTGTAAATATGGAAGGAGTTTTATGTTGGTGTGTATAACAGTATAAATGTGTGCTTTTGTGGGATAATATTATAAAAAGGGATGGATGTTGTTGACCCACAGCGTTTCACTGCTGCACCACAGTTGTAAAAAAGTCTTGTGCCATATTCACATTAATTCTGTCAGGCGTACGGGGGGAAAAGCAGTGAATTCTTGTGGTATATATTAAACAACAAACCTATAGTTAAGAAGATCCCAATTAAACCTGTTAACATCATTAGAATTTATGACAAAGTTCAAAAGGAAATCGCTTCCCAAGCAATTTAAGGTTTGTCAGAATTTGCCTTCAGGCTCCCAAAACCTCTAAATTGCTTCACTCTCAAATATTCGAGAGAAAAGAATCCAAGATCTCATTAGAGAAACGCAAGTGGTTTTTGGGAAGTGCTGAGCAGCCCAGTTTGGGGCTTTTCAGCTAAAACCATTTAAACATTTTAATCAATTTCTTTATGTTGCTCCCCTTTCATGTGTCATCATGTAATATAATTCTTTCTTAAAGTTAATGTTCCTGAGAAGTGGAAATGAGTTTTCAGTCCTTACTGTACTGCGAACTGTATTATAGTGTAAGGGTGAGAAGTGTGTGTTTTCTTTTTTTTAATATGTACACTGCTAGACACACAGAAGCAATTAAGGAGCAGTAAACACTCAACCAACATACACAATAATTTTTTTGTAAAGTATTCCCACTGTAAACCTCATATTACATCATGGAATAACTATTCAAACAATAAAAAGAGAAAAAATATAAACAAGATGTAAAACCTCATTTGGTGCTTTTCCAAAATCAAGTATTAACAGATCTGAATATTTCCTACATGTTGCTAGAGGTAACAATGTTTACACACAGCCGGCGCCCATGGTGATGTAAACCTTGACCGCGAGGGGCTCAGCGACCCAATGAAGGCCCTGGGGTTGTGACACGAAATACTTTTGCTATTATTACCCTGTGCAGTCACTCAGTAAGCTAAAAAAGACATCTAAGCCCACTTTCAACAGCAAGCTTGGACAAAATCTCGGTCGAGAATAGATTCTAATGTTTCCTTGAAGTGAAAGAAGTTCAAGAACAACAGCCAGCAGCTGTCATATTATATACTGACCATTAGTGCGTGCTCGTTTTGTCTCACAGTCCCAAAGGAAAGGGCATGTCGGGATAGCAGAGAGTTGCAGGTACTATGTTACATAATAGCATATTTCCTTCCAAACCTCTTTCCATTCAAGAGTAGCCAGAGCCACTAAGACAGACTTTGAGCTGAATGTAGGGTAGCCTACTGCTACTCTGGCTATCCTGTCTAATGTTTTTCTACCAGTTGCCACTTTTCTGCCCCTCTCTGAACGACACACAGGCTGTCCAGCTCCAAATTCTCCATAGAAAGCGGGAAAAAATCTTACTACACAAACAGCACAGGTCTGAACATGGAAGTTACTTTGTTGCTCTTGCAGAATTCATTGGCATCTTCACCCTTCATCATTATCAAAATAATGTAACTCTCTTCTGTTTCCCCTTATGGCTGATGATAGATGCTTATTATTTTCATGGTCATCACAGTCTCTGTACTCTAACCGTGGCTTACATCCCAAAACAGATCCCCAGATCAAAAACAAATTAACTTGTGCACAAACTAAAACAGAGGCAGTAACACAAAGCAGTTTTTGTTCTCCACTGGACCATGCATCACTATGAAGGACATATAATTGACACTTGGTGGGACAAAAGTCAAGCCTCTCCCTCCAGAGCTCTGGGTGCATGAGTCACTCATGTCAACTGTCATAAAAGACATTTAAACCACTGGCAGCAGTGTACCAGTACGTCCGGTAATAATGTGCTGTGCTTTTGGTGTCAAGGGCAATTTCAAGGCCTGCAGCTCTCTTTGCCTAGGCTTTAATGGCGAGATTGGCTGACTTCATGTAGCATGCCAACAATCATGTCCTTGGACTTGAGCAGGGAAGCCACACTGGGGTTTAATTAGCTGACAAGATCTCACTCACGTTTTTGCTAGTTTTTGTTGTTTTTGGACAACCTGTCTTCAGCAAAAGTTTTCACCACTTTTAAAAAAACATTTTTCAAATTTACCTGTCAGCTTATCTCTACAGTCTTGCCAGCATTGTATCCAAAGTGCCTGTGTTGTTTCCTTTCCAACTTTCATGTCCTTAGCTTCTGTCCTTTTGCCCTTAAGCATCCTTTTCCCACAACTATTTCAGAAAAAAAGTATTAACATGAAATCAAAGAGATATTAGTTGTTTCTGCACTAAGGGTCTGGAGCTGAGGCATGCTCCCTGCCTCGCTGCTGACTCAGGTGGGCGTAGGTAATTAGAGAGCAGGTCCTGTTATTCTAGGTCTCCAGGGAAACAGCTGCCATCCATCCCCAGTTCCCATGGAGCAGCTTGAAGCTGAGGTGTGTACCGACTCCTACCACTCTGTTCTGGACGGATGCCCTTCACTGAGCACACCGAAGCTTCCTTCTTTCCTGCTACCTGAGGTACCACTTCAGGATCACTGATCACTGTCACGAATTCTGGCAGTGTGAGAGTGAGGCATAAAGGAAGAGCCAATCATCATTCATTTTCAAATGAAACCAAACCACGTGCATTTCTTCTCTCTTTTTAAGGATTCAGCTCAAATAAAAGGCTTCCCTTCTTTACTTCCTGATATTATTACTGCCATTGATAAAGATTGATGTCCCTGACAGAGGGAGAAAATGAGCTGTGTTTTCGTCTTATTATTAGATTTCCAGACTATGAATCTGAAAAAAATAAATGATTTACATGGAGAAACAACTCTTCTTCACGACGGACTTTCAGCCCTGCAGCTGCAAAGGGGCCTGGAAGCAGAGACAGATCGGCAGCAAAAGACCAGGCTCTCTCTGTTTTCTTATGATTGAGATCAGCTTGTTTGGCTGACCCAGTTCAGCTGGAGTCCAACACCAGAATAAACATAACTGTATATTTTATTAAATGGACGTAAAGGGACAGAAAATATCAATTTTGAGAATCACCAAGATGATTAATGAGGTTGATGAACTTCAATGACAAATCCTACAGTGCTAGTCTGATTCCTTCAAAGTAAATGCATGTGAAATCATTCAAAGAATAAACATACACAACACCATATCCACCCAAAAGTTGTAACTCAGTCACTTCCATGTTATAGTGCTGGGCAATACTGGAATACCAGTTTTAATTTCCTGTATGAGCTGAAACAACTGCTTTAACTCATTTGTTTCTAGTGACATTTAGGAATTATCTCTTTGAATACTTAAATACTTAGAATATTTTATAGTGTATAATCAACTGAGAAAACAAAGTTGCTGAAATATCTTTATGTGTCTTTATATATATATTTAAGTTGTAATGTATTACTGTCAGTAGAAAACGTAACTGCAAACTTATATAAAGGAAAACAAATTCAGTGATATACTGTGAAACCACAACAAGCTTAAAAAATACTGTGATAAAAATGTTTGATCATACAGCCCAACACTACTATTGTATGGATGTTTGTGTGCAATGGCTGTATACTTTTATAAAGACAGTTAAATTAAATTTAAAAAATATCTGCCTGGAATAAAGTGTTTCTGATATGGTTTCTCCTAGAAAAAAGGTCAATTACCTTGTTAAGAATTATTACAATCACATTTCCTCCTTCTCCATCTAGTCTATGAATAATGCAAGTTTCATACCTGGACCGTGGTTGGCTTCAAACAATATGATGATGTCCCACAATCACACATGTAAGTACATGCCTTAAACTAAATGTTTTAGGTGAGAACACAGAAACTTTCCTCCTTCAGCAGGTGAATGTTAAACCAGCCTTCTAGTGTCAAACTGCACGTACATCATTCGTCACTCTGAAGGCCAAACACCCAAGTAAAGTAACAATGAGCAACACACATGTTTGAGCGGAGAGACACCTTAATCTAAGGCCTTAGATGAGGAGTTTGCCGGTAAGTGACATCAAATGTAACTGATAATTCCTGTGCTGTCAGATTCTAGCAAACTTGGAATGTGTTGGATTGGACACTATCCGCTATCTGGAGGCTCACTCCATAGAGGGGCCGCATACCAGACATCAAAGACAACTGGGAGACATGGAAGGGCATGAGCCAATGGGAACTCTGTAAGCTGATCTCATGTTCGGGACACTCTGAGATGTTACAATGTACAGTATGCAGCAAATATGTTCAAACAGGTAAACAACTAGGCCCAGCAACAGGTAGGGATTACAGCTCTGAAATAATTCATCGATGAGATGAAAGACAAAGCTGTGGGCGCCATAAACACCCCGTTGCATAACCCTCGCGTTTGATTTGAAGGGGGGGAAACATCGGGGTCAATTTCACAGACACTCGGTTCACCTTTAACACATCTACACTGCTGAGTGCTTCCGCCCATCTGTGCCCCTTTTCCCGTTCTCCATGTCCCTCTGCTGCCATTAAGTCAACAACCACCATCCAAGCCCTTTGTGTTAACCCCTGTCTCCCCTTCGAACATGAGTCTGTAAGCCTTTATTTATCTTACTCATTATTTTCTTTCCCTCTCCTTAAAGCTAATCTTGCCTCCTTCCCATTCCCTGGCCCTCTTCCTCTCTCCCTTGCTCTCTTGTCATGACATTGGCCTGTGACACGTGTGGGAAACTTCTGCGGGGCCCCAGCTTCGGACAGGACACCGATATACTGAGAGTGCTGGGTGACGGGGCTATTTTGGGAACTTAAATATGAGAACTTCCTTTCCTAAAGTGTATCTATATCCCAAAGGATTATTAACAACAAGAAGTAATACAGAGGCAAAAATGCAGCACGTCCATTATCACTTCTAGCACAGCTTCTCCTTCTCTGTGTTTGAATCAAGGGGATATGATAAGACTGAGCTCCTGAAGAGCGACCGCCACCTTGTTTTCACCAATTCTTTCAGAAACACAAATCTAAAGGTTAAAGAAACAGCGAACGTGGCTCTCACTTCATCAGCAAATGTTTTTCAGTCTCTATAATAGCATTTTCAGGTGCTTCCACACATTAGGCCGAGTTTTATTGGGGGGGGGCATCCGGCTCACAGTTCTAGGGACGCCCAAACTCTCTCTCCCCTGTTTGGAAGTGGGGAGACAAGACAAGGAGCACAACAGGGAGGAAACGTTATTGAACTGGAACTTCAGAGGAGGAAGCTGAGATTGCGATAAGGAAATCTGGGGTCTGCTGCCAGCCTTTAAGCTGCAAACAGATCAGGTTGGATCAGATGAGTGACTCTGAATGGCTTTTCTCCACAGTTAATGGAAGATAGAGTGAATACGTTTTTCTTCTTGTTCCTACAGTTGGATGTTTGAGCTTCTCTGTGCAGAATGATGTATGTGGAGAGTTTGACACAGGAAGGATATTTTCACATTCATCTGCTGAAAGTGGAAAGTTTCTTTGTGCTCACTGAAAATCAGATTTTAAGGGGCCGGGCCTAGCAGCATGATTTGTGACTATTACAAATGGTTTGGAAGTTCATCCTGGACCAGTTTGCAACTCATACCAGTGTGATGTAGAAGCTAGAGGGCCAGCAGTGCACAGACACTGAGAATGGGCTTTACAGTGAAGTAGGAAACATCTTGAGTCCAGCAGGAAAACTTTAGAAATGAACAAATGTTACATATTCATAGAATCTGGAATTTTTAATGAGATAGAAGGAGTAGATTTTAATGTGGAAATTATACTTTTGCAAAGAAACACACCAGACACACATGATTGTTCCATGCAGACTATTTGTACACGTCTTAATATATGTATGGAGAGGATCTTTAAAGATTTAACCATAATAAAAATTATAATAATTATAGGATTACACAAGATCACTAAGAATGAAATTGCTCAATAGTCAAAATTATCCTCAGCCGCAGTAAGAAGAAAGGCTGAAAGACTTCCATTATCAGTTCATAAAATTTGAATGAACTACCCATGAGTAAATATGATTATGGTAATAGGTAATATATATCCAGTGAATATTACTGACAAAATGATGTATCTCATTTTCTTTCTCTTTTGTCTCTCTCGCTCTCTTTCAAAGGCACACTTACACACACACACACACACACACACACACAAACACGCACACTGTCTTAAATAATTAAGATGGTGCTGAATGTTTAACTGCCTCCCCTTATGCCACCCAAGAGCTTCATCACATGTGAGAGAAACAGCTTAGGTCATACTCTCACCCGCACACACATCCTTATTTTACTTCACACGCATACAGATGTGCATTGCTCGATACCTTACACAGCATGCAACCTGAGCATAGCTGTAACCTGAAAACGACAGACGAGGCAGTCATGATGATGGATCCTCGTGCAACTGATCAAATCTGACCTGAAACTCTATACTCTGCTTTCTCTACGACTAACACTCTCATCCTCCTTCGAAAAACACTCATCCTGTCTGATGGTATCAGGTCTTCCTCTACTGACATCATGGTTGAAGGACTGAGTGCCAAACTACACCGATACGGAGCTGTGGCTGACTCTTCAAAGGCAGGCCCTGCTGTTGCTTCAAATATAGGAGCAGACCTTAGCGGACATTATACAACCACACCTGTTGCTTGAGGCAGCAAGACATAAGCAACCACTTCCGCTGAACCACAGAGTAAACATGTGTTAATAACGCTGTAGCTTCACAGAATGTGAGTTTACATTTGGACAATAGATGTTTAAATAGAAACGGTGATCTAATACAGGGGGAACAATGAGGAAAGATGTAGCTTAGCTTGCCTACAATAACCCAGTGAACTCATCCTTTTACTTCAGATCATGAAGTCCTGAGCTCTCTGATGGCCCGCCCCGACTTTGTGATATCAATGTAATATAGTGGCGCCACCTAGTGATGCATACTGGGATGTA